AACTAATCATAAGCCACAGAGAACTTAACATCTTCCTTTACCTAGTTTGGGATTCTTCTTTGATACTCACCCATGAAATCATAGGAGAATGAACCAGATACCTTCAGGTTACGAAGTGAGCATGTTACTACTATTTAGTCACTGGCACGAAATCCAATAATTCATAAATTCTGAATTCTCCTATAAATGTTTTGTGGTGATTGACTATTTCTATCTCTGTATTGTTTAAATACTTACTGCTGATTGTTAATATATTTCTTATATGAATTGAATAATAATTCCGCTAAATACAAAAATTCCTGAATTCCGCCCTCTCTGTGTTTTGTTTGGATTCTTGTAATTCGGTCATCTCGAAATACTAATACTACGATTACAAATAATTACAACATGTTTTTCTTTGACATTTTCTTTGTCATTAAGCGTTTCAATCCTCCCATTTTATTGTTGACTCAGAAAATCGCTATGGTTGGTTCAACTGTGGCGTGTGTTAATGATAAGTTTTATCAGTAGTATACAAAGAGATGTTCACTGGTAATAAAAAAACATCAAATAACTGGGAGATGATAGATTTGATGTCAGAGAAAGCAAATCACACAGCATTTCAGAGATACTTGGGAGGCGTGAAAGGAGGAACACAAAGAAACACAATATCAAGGTCAGAAATAGCACAACGTGGAGGATCTGTGCAAATGGTGTGTTGAAGATAAGGTGTAAAAAATTCCAATTTCAATAAGGCATTAAGGAGACAAATTTCGTGGGATGATATCATTTCGTAGTTTCTTTGATTTCATTTGCGATTACATCACAAGCAATGGGATAAACTCACCCATTGCTGTTACTTACATCAAAGATATCATCTTAATGTGTACAGAAAATATTAGATTCACCTTCCAAGAAAAGGCATACAAACAAATCGATGGTGTTGCTATGGGAAGCCCTCTGGGACCTCTGTTAGCAGATATATTCATGTCAAAATTAGAGAAACAATTGCAAGGTATGTTTGGAGAATTTATGCTGCATAAACGTTATGTAGATGATACTCTCATTATCGGTAATAATAGTAAGTCTGCTGAAAACTTTATTGCTTTACTTAATCATATTTATCCAAATATCTCAGTGACTTCCGAACTAGAATGGCATAACAAACTCAGTTTCCTGGATACTACGATGACTCGGAGAGATGATAGAGCGATTCAGCAATCTGTTTTTCGTAAACAGGAATGGAGTGGACAATATCTTCATTTCACAGGTTTTGTTCCTATCCAGTATAAAAGTTCCCTAGTGAAATGTTTATTCTCAAGAGCCCACAAACTATGCACGAGTGACACATTGATGGAGGAGTTTCGACATATACATTCAGGTTTATTAGTTAATGGTTATCCAGAAAACTTTATCAATTATCACAGTAAGGATAGACAACATCTTGAAGAGACACCATCTGTACCAAAGAAAGCCATGTTCATTAACCTACTATTCAAGGGTGACCAGATTATGCAGTTGACAGCCAGCTCAAAGACTTCGGTCAGCCATCAAACGCACATTCTACGCCACCGCATCTCTTTTATTCACTTGCCGAACATTTTCGATCCCTGTACCTACGATTAAAGGACGAAATTTTGTGGACTCTACTTCAAACTGTATTTACAAGTTCACCTGCAGTTACGGTGACACCCATATAAGTAGAACCAATAGGATATTCCAATGTCGTCGAAAAGAACATGCTCCAAAATGGCTACTAAATCATATAGAAAATCCTAACGCGATTAATCTGAATAGAAATCCAGCATCATCCATTGCAAAACACTTATTAATGTCTGGTCACAAAATCAATATTAATGACTGTTTCACAATTATTTCAACACATAACTCTAATTTAAGGTTATTGAAGGTGATGGAAGCACTTTTGTGGATTAATTGCATACAGACTAAACTGTGTGTACAAAAACAATAGACTTCAATCTTCTCGCCTGCCATGGACTACATGACCTATTTAAATATGATTGATCATTAGTATGAACTTTTGTTTTTTGATTTAACTGAGTAATTGTCATGATCTTTTATTTTATTATTGTTAACCATGTTATTTGTAAAGCGGTTGTAAAGAAACTACGAAATGACGATATCATCTCGCGAAATCTGTCTTCTTAATGCCTTATTCAAATTTATGAAAGGGGCTAATTGTTTTAAAATTCCAGTTATTAATTCTTTCTTCCCTCCACCACTGTTATTGCTACCTCAGATTCCTTGAGTGCAATCGGCGATTATCTGTTGATTATCAAGGTGCATGGAATAGGTTTCGTTGGTTAACACTTGTCTGTTAAGAAGCGTCAAATGGAGATGTTGTTCTGTTTGTGCTAGACTCCACACTTGTTAGTACTCACCATATCAGCAATGCTCTAACTAATACACTCAAACTCATTCTCCCTCGAAAATTTGAAGATGGATCATTCGTTGTAGAAATCAACGTCTTATCTAGTCATGAATAATCCTCATTCAAACGTTGATATAAGACCGAATACATAGTTCAGTGCAGACGTACTTTTCAGTGATTTCATTTACGTTAGCAGTAAAAACACAATGTCATAAACATAGCTTCTAATAATTATGAATTTGAATACAAATGAAACAGTTATATAGCAAAATTAAAAATTCAATGAATGGACTATCATAAAGATACACACAGAAATGAAGGAAATATGATATTCCGTATGATTTCGAAAGAATTCATTACCATGGTACTAGGAATGGTTGAAGTCCTCTCTTCTGTATACTGAGCTACGCTTTCTCTTTCTGGATAACTAGAGCTTCAGCGATGCACACAAGGTTATACATGTCGAAGGACCAATATAACTGGCTTCATATGAACAAATGAACTGAAATTTGCACTCGTATCATCTCTAAAAAGGTTCACGGTTGCAGAAGGGTAGCAACGGCTTCGTAAGCAGTGCAATAATTGAACATCTTGTCAAAACTGGCCACACCAGCAGAATAAATTCCTTCTTAAAAAGTGATCTACAGCAAGTGAGCAGCAAACTTGCAAAGGAAAATACACTGTGGCTTGCCTTACACTGCTAAAGCCGTAGGTATCCAGATAGAGAGACCGCAACTGTGCGTACAAAAGAGAATTCATCAATCCTTTCCACTACCATGGTAGTCATCTTGTTTCTTATTAGTTGGTTTATTAGATGTATCATACAATGAAACAGTACTATTAACTGGATGACGTTTCGAACAAAATTTATTGTTCATAATCATTTCGTCAGTTATAACCACACAACTTTGAAACTTAAGATAAATAGTTCTCTTTTTTCTCTCCTATTTGTCGTCGTTGAGGTAGTAGAATTTTCCAAATATCCGTTTGGACAGGTGTTCAATCATTCCTATTACACGTGTTTGCACTTGATTCCATAAACAAAGCTTCTGTTATCAATCTCCACCACTCGCCACCCTGTGATATTCGGTTTTAAAGTTGTCATCCTAACCCATCCTATCGTGTGGTTGTGAGTAATTGCATGTAGTGAGTGGTATAGCTGAACTATTCTCTAGATTTCTTATCTTATTCGGGTCAACAAATCTAGATATCGTTGCTAGGTTTTCTTAGCTCAGCTAGTCTGAATTCCCCTGTTCTACTAGTTTGACCTATGTATCTGACCTGACAATCATTCGAGCAGGATACTAGATAAACTAAATTGTTTTGGTTTAAAGGATCCACAGGATCTTTTAACCGACGAAGCTTGTTTCTAATTGAGTTTGTGGGTGGTTTGAATGCCAGCCATTTTTATTCCTTCGTGGATTGTTAAGAATTCTGCGTAACGTGGTTTCCGAGATTCTACCTTGTGTTGAATTACTACTGATGATTTAGATTCCTTATTGTTGGTGTTGTTATTATCTTCGGCATGTTTGACATGTATGTCGTCATTGATATTATTATTATCTTTATCACTACTATCATTATTTATTTTATTTTTGCATTTTCCGACACACTTCCTAACTAATTTATCAGGCTAATTATTAAGTTTCAAAGCTTCTCTTATGTGCCTCACCTCCTATCTTAGATTTTCCTTGATACTACTTAGTTTTTGTGCTCTATTACTTAAACATTTCACCAATCCTATTTTACCTGACATAGGATTGGAGGACCAAAATCTAAATGTCTGTTTGAATGTGTGAATTTCCTGTAATCACTAGTGTTTAATTTCCCATCTTCCTTCATTTCTACGATACAATCTAACATTGGAAGCTCACCTTCCTGACTTTCCAATTCATAAATGAATTAAACTACCTCCACCTTTGAGTTAATGTGTTCGAACACAGAATATAGATTGTTTTTTTCGGTGGTTCAACGGTAGAATGCTCGCTAACCCCAACACATGTAGTCAGTGATTTGATCCTCGGCGGACGTCCCTCCTAAACCTCGCCAAGCCGGTAGTAAAGCCGGTAAAGAGGGGAGGCTGGATGTGAAGCTAGTAACCCCACCACGTAAAAATAAAATCACCGCTATCGAAACATTACAGTCCTAACTTGAAGCCCTGTGTTGCACCCGGAACGTACACGAATAAAAACATACTTGAATAAGGCGAATTACTGTGATGCACATTGATTGTTGTACCACACAAAGTACGCAGTTGGCTCAGTGTAATACGCTTCTTATGAAACCTACTCACTACCTTAAAAATACATTGTGTCCACTTTATTTGTATATAAGACACCGAAATTTCATTAATTTTGGTGTTCATTTTGGCTAATCCTTCTCAAGGTTCTAAATTCGGCGTGAACCAATGAAATCTTCGTGTAAACAACAAGTGTCAAATAACCTTAGACATGCATTGTGCATCAGTTCAGTGCACATGTTATTCTTTTCAGCAAGATTACAAACAAATATACAAAAATAAATGTTGAAAAACACATGCACACCCGCACACACACATACAAAAAAGAGAAAGAAATTTCAAGTGAAATTCGGTTGAAGTCATCGAATCAGATTTGGCAGAGTGACGGGCTGGGGCTGCGTGGCCTAAAACACTTTCCAGCGCTTTTCACTTAAAAATAACTAGTGAAATAAAAGGAGGGAATTATTCGAATTACTATTGTCATTACTGCTTTCGTCTTCACTACTTTTCGAATTAAACTGTATTGAGTTGTACCGTTAACTGTATCGCTAGTTTCATAATAAAAAAAACATACTTCAAAGCTTACACACAACTCAAATGTCAATATTTCGGATCTCATGTTTTCTACTGATCGTGATCATGGCAATATGTACATTGATTACTGGATTAGCCTTGGCACCATTTTGGCAAAGTGAGTTATTTTTACACTTGTAATTGTCATTGGATCTATAATGTTTGCCTAGGTTGATTATACCAACTTGATTACCCGGAAATGTATTCATCATAACTTTTGAAAATGATAACTGTGAATTTATGGAATGGTTATAAAGTAGTTAGATTAATAATAACGACACAGTGAAGCTAGAAACTATGGAAAATAGATGCTTAAGAAACATTCTATGGCACGAAAGCCACAACTGTATACGATACTAGTTGTACTATTGATTAAACACATGACAGAAGCCTCCTCATAAAGCATAAAACGTAAACTGATATCAATCCGTGGTCAAACTCGTAAAAACAAATTTAATCCTCACAAACGAACTCCTGAAAAATGAATCTGATGCTCGCTAATGACTGACTGGCTACAGGATGGAGTTTCCTGGAGTCAGTTCTAGTGAGAAGTCATAACCAGTCAGGTCCATCTAGTTAAGTATGAAGATGCATTTCCCGCCGATAACACTGATTGGTGGTCATGCATCACGAATTGCTAGGGGTTAGAATTAATGTACTAGCCATTCTATCGTGTCCCAGTGGCTGAATGGTATACGAGTCAGCTTGCCTTGTAACTGGAGGGTACTGGGTCCAAAGCCTGACGGTGGGTACGTAGTGGCGATGATTCTCGAGGTAGGATGAAATAGCTGTCCAGTACTCCCTGGTGGGTTTCCAATGGTTCTTTAAGTGATATCGATCCATAATCAAACTCTTAAAAACAAATTTAATCCTTACAAACCAAATCTTAAACGTAAAACGCCTAATTACCCAATCATTCAGCACACTACCTGACCATTAAGTGCTGACAATAAAACGCAAATCAAAAAGACCCAGTTAGTTAGTAATTTGATTTGATGAGAAATATATGTGAGGAGGATAAAATATTTAGGGAAAAGAGTTTGGCTGAACTGCAGACTCTGAGTATATACGTGTTAACAGAACAAAGGATGGGCTAAAAATGGCGTCCGAGCTTAGTAATATGCATACCTGTTAAAACAAAACTTAAAACTTCTAAAGTAGCTATAAGCAGGCTAGAGGTTTATTTAGTGAATATTAAGTTGATTTAGACTGATCCGTTAATTACAGTCCTAGATTTATTTTATTACCGTAGAAGATGAACTATAACCAGATTAAGATAAACTGGTTTCTAAAATTGCGAAATTTCATGAAGGAATTTTCTTGAGAAAAGAAATAAAGTTGATGAGTGGGTGACAGAGAACATTTACTAAATAAAATGTCTTATTTTCTCAAACATTTTCTGTATTTCAATATCAAGTAGATCGAAGGTATGGCAGAATACTCAAGTTCAAATACTGCTTTAAAAATGATTAGCAATAAGGATACTTTTATTCTAAATAGTGTTTATATAATATACAGAAATTCCAGCAAAGTTTATCGCATCGTATTTTCTCTTCATCCAACATCTTCAAGTAAAATATGAACTGACGATAGATTGTGCGACACAGTTCTATCTGATCTGAAGCACATCACCACTACATCATGATATTTCTTCTTCGTCTCCTTCGTAAAATACACCATATTTGGTTGAAGTTTGTATCCACTTATCATAAGTTCGCACACTGTTTCAAAAGGGCATGATTTACATGGATTAGGATGAACACCCATGTTATATTTGAAGCTGTTACTGTTTCCTGAAATATGATGTCAGAAATAGAGATAACATAGGGTGTAATTCCATTGTGGATAAAATTTATTCTGATAAAGTCTCGCAGTGTTATACAGTAACATTTACTGATGCCACCACGTTTCGAGCAAAATTTACTGCTCATAATCATATCAAGTTATTCACAAAACATTCCAACTTCGTTTATATAATTCCATTACTTTTCATCACTTGACTCGATTGGTATTCGTATTTTCCATAACTCTGCTATGAGTGATGAGGCACTTCTATCGCATATGTTGTGTTGGGTGTGGACTCGATGAATCAGCCGGGATTCAGTAATCAATCTCTCTCGCTATCCACCTACTTATATTACTTTTCACAATCTTAACCCTCTCCCATCCTATTGTGTGGTTGTGTGTTAATGCATGCAGTGCAACTGCTGGGTTTCTTTCTCTGAATTACTTATCTTTGTGAGATAAATCATTCTAACCTTAGCTAAATTCTCATGTTCCAAAAATATGACTACCTCCGATCTACTGCTTTGACATAATGTAGTTGACTTAACTCACAGTCATTGCAATGGTATTTTGTAAATTATATTATTTTGTTTAATTGGGTCCACGGGGTCTTTTAGCCCACAGAGCTTGTCTTACCTGAGTGAGTTTATAGGTTTAAATGCCACCTTAATTCCCACTTTATTAAGAATCCTACGTAGGGTCTCGAATGCCTTATATTCTTTCCTATTTATGTTATCATGATTAGTTTCACATTTTCTGATATGCCTAATGAACTTTATAAGATAGTTATCAGCCAGCTATTCTTCTGTCTGTTTCATTTCATCATTAAGGTTTTTGTTGTACTGCTTAGCACTATTGCTCTGTTTGTCACACATTTAACCAAGCCTGCCTTTACAGACAACGACGGATGAGATGAATTAAAGTCTAAATATCTATTAGCATAATGCGTTGGCTTTTTATAAACACTAGTGTGCAGTGCAATTTACCTTTTTCTATTCCTATTTATTTTACGGACTAACATAGCTAATTCTCCTTGTTCATTTTCCAATTCAAATGTGAATTTTATCCCATTATGGCCAAAATTTTATTTTGTGCCATTGAACCAGCTGAATGACATGGGTGTTTATATATACAAGTTACAATTCTTGCTAGTACCTGGCCAAGGTCATCCTTATCGGTTACTCATCAAGCCGATTTTCTCCCTGAATCTCTTCGGCTACAACTAGAGGTGATCCCACAAGAATTTATGCTCGTACAATTAAAATATGAATAATTTAACCATACCATTTTCACTTCGCATGTTGTGTGAAGGGTGATATGTCAGAATTACAGTCTCCAATTAAATGGCAACGTATTCCTAACATTATTATTGTACACTAACTTCTCGTTTCTATGGTAATCTAATTTGTTTCTAATTGTATAGGAAGATAAATGGTTGTTGCAATATGTTTGGAATAAAAAGTGATTACTGTTACTATGATTATTGAAAAGGGAGGGGGAAGACTGGGCGTGAAACTAACATCCCCCTCCCCCCCCCACAAATACCACATCATCGCTAGTGAAACTTTGCACTCTGAGGTTCTATATACCATTCGGAATTCTAGGAATGAAGAAAAAAAGGATGTCTAAAAAAATCCGAATGTTAGACAAGCGATTTACAATAACACATAGACAAATAAAGTTTCTAAACTGATGGGTAAATGATGGTAAAACACAGAAAGACGATGTACTTTCTTCCAAATGTTTTGATCCTCTATTTAATTCAATTGTAGATTTATCCGTAGATTGATTGGACGTAAGTACTCAGTCTCAGGTTAACATATCGGCTTCTTGTGTAGATGCTTCAACAATGTCTGGGCATGTAATTAGAAGTTAATTGGTGGATGGTGACTAGGAGTGGAATCCAGGATGCTCATTTGGTCCCATTTGGGACTCGTCAACTGGATGTACCTGCTTGATGTAAATAATTAATATGACCCGTTGCACAAGAGTGGGCCCGGTGACCCAAATGGTCTAGTGGATAATGGTTTTTGAAACTATGGACCTTGGGTTCCAGCCTTGATGGGAACATAATCACTCACTAAGGAATGCAGGTACATCCAGAAGACGAGTCCCAAATAGGACTGACTAAATGCACATCCTGGATTCCACTGCTAGTCACTCTCCAACAATTAATACATCGAATTTCGACCCTCTGTTGTAGAAAACATAAGGAGTATTGAAAGGAAGCAAATGTTTTGACTCGATCATCACTATTAACTCATCAGTTCGTGAGTCAACAAACAAAACGTCAACCTTGAAATGTAGTTACTTCTTAGTGTTATTATTTTTGTTTAACTTTGTAAATATTTATTTTCACTCACTAATTTATTCAAACCTGTGTCTAAGTGGATTTAGTTCGAGTATGATAATAATAAGATTCACATAAAAGTTATCCTTCAATATCTCATGTTTAAGATTCAGTAAATACACACTGCCTTTTAATAAAAACGAATGAATTTAAAATTACCGCCAATATTTTGAAAAATCAATAAGGTCATATGTTAGAGTTTATTATTTATGTCAGGAATAAAACAATAACTGAGAAAGCAAAGCATAGACTACATCAGTCTATTAAGCTTAATGATCTGATGAAGAGGCCAGTTATGTCTTGAAGTGTATTTTTTCTGCTTTGAAGCAACTTTCAGAACGTCTAGTGATTTCTGTCATTTGTATCAGGTTATCAGTCACGATAAAGCCGATGAGTGTAGACATCCTAGTAATTGGTTATGTTTCGTTCTCTGAGCTATCTGACTGGCTTGCTAAGCTTATATTTACCTGAAGCGCAACACCTTCATCACTATTAGTATACATTTACATACTATGTAATAGGTGGACTCAACGCCATGGAAAGTATTTGTAATTCTAATTATTAAATATCATGAGAAAGTATACTTCACAGGAATAAAATGATTTGAAATCTTGGGAGTACTGAACAGTTGTTTCGTCCTAGTTTGGGACTCTTCGTCAGTACTCACCTTATCCCTAATTAAAAGGTCCTGGTTTCGAATCCCGGTGGGTGCGTACTGATGAAGAGTCCCGAACGAGGACGAAACAACTGTATGGTACTCCCAGGTTTTCCAATGGTTCTCTAACTAATGTCAGCTCATGATGAAATCCTGTAACCACTCAACCAAATCTCCACAAACCAACACTTGGATTTGCAAACTATTGAAATGAATGAAAGTTTATCACTGAGATAGTATGTTTGATGGTGTAATTTGTCAACATTAATGACTGCTTAATTTCAATTATTACATTTCGTCACAAACTAATATCACAGTATGAAGACGT